TAATGGGACTTCCTATAGAACAACACTTCTGAGAATCCGTCCTTGGGAAAGTCTCAGCATAAGCACCCACACTGATGTTTCAAACTTCCAGGGGTTTGAAGGCAGGAGAGGGTTTAAAAGATGACATGGGTCTCTTTAGAAGATTCCCGTGTGCCGTTTCTCCCAATAATGGGCTGTTCTCTTACGTTCTGTTTTGTGCTGACTTAGACCACAAGCTGGTGTTAACCTGCAAGACCATACAGAAAGAAATTTTATTTGAAGCTGGGGCTGTCCACATAAAAGTCAGTGTATGCAGGGAACACAACATTTGAATTCAATCACTGTCCATTTCTATTCAGTCATAAAAGTTCCTTGGATGATCTGACTCAGTTGGCCCATGTCTTTCAGCTTTAATCCACCTTGCAGGGTTGTTATGAAGATAAAATTAGATACCCACATATATGGCGTTCCTAACTCTTTAGAAGGAAAGGGAGAATAAAAATACAGTGCATTTTTTAGACTTATAAACAGTTCTTACATGCTTATGAGCTCTTCTCACATACATATTTCTTTAAAAGTTGCATAACTTAAAATATAACATATCAAAATCATAACATTAGAACATAATGGAATTCATTGTCTGTATGACCCCAACACAGCATTTACTCTAAGTTCCTATATATGCTTACTTAAGAACTCAGTGGAGCTCATATCTGAGAAGATATGTGTATATATGTGCTATAAAACTCCTCATTTGTGTCACTGGAGCTTCTCTTTCCATGTCTGTAAATGTTCTATCTCTGTTCCCAATACATTCATTTGGAATGATAACAGTTTGGGGTCATTTACATAGGAGTAGATCAATGTGGAATCACAGCCTAGTAATCTAATTCGTGTGTGTGTGTGTGTGTGTGTGTGTGCATGTGCGAAGGGGTGAGGGAACGTGCGTGCGTGCGCGCGTGCGCGCGCGTCAACCACCATGCGGGTGCATCGGAGAGGGCAAGCGTGAAGGGCCGCACCACCTCCGTCAGAGACTCCGCCGGGCCGGACGAGTCTAAAGGTTGGGGAACTCTGCACTAGGAGACTTCCACCTCTATCCATCAAGCATGTGTCTTTCACTGCACATACATTCAATAATAATGCATGTCAGACCACACATTATTTTCATATGTATACATGCATACATATGTTCACTGTTATCCACAGTTTCAGTATCTGTAGTGGGAACCAATCCCTGGCAGATATGGGGGTCCTACTGTATTTAGATGACTATCATTTTAATGTAGGACAATGGAGACACATACATGGCATTTAGTCTGTACCTTGGAATCTTACAGAGAGGGACGTTTTACTTGGAATAAATGAAGAATAAAGGAGATTCCCAAAGGCAGAGAAATAAGCATAGTCCATAGACATTCTGATATGGTTGCCTATCTTAGTGGCCATATTAAAATAGATTTCAGGACAAATAAATGTATATAAATAAATAAATTTCTGTACAACTTAAATGTCTTTTATTCAGTAGTTCATCGCTTCCCCCATCTTCTAATATTGGAGCTTTTAAAAATATTAATATAGCAGATATAGCAGAAATATATATCAGGAAAAACATATTTAAGGAGAGAGGAAGGAAAGAAACACCCCCCACCCCCACCCCCCCACACAGAGAGAGAGAGAGAGAGAGAAGGCTGTGGAGAGATACCAATCAGCTTCCAGAATAGCAGGCAGACATTTTTCTTATGAAAGTAGAACAGTATCCATCACTTTTAGTTGCAGTGCCTCTTAGTATCCCATTTGCACAATCATTTAGTTTAGGCTCAGACTTTCTGGACAATAATGATGTTTCTGGGACTCCTCTATATCTCTCAGCTATAGTGCAGGTGGCATTGGGGTCATTCAGATGTATCCATTCTTTCTTTCAGGGTGAAGTTCCCGCCCATATATAAGCAGGGAAGAGAGTGTATTATTATGCTGCACAAGGCCTCTGACAGACTTAAGAGTGGTAGATGCATTCTACTTAGTAACTTTTAGAGCACACTTCAACCCCTTACTTGATATGTTACTTAAAGCAACCAAGGGTTTTCAAGGACTGAAATATTTGAGGAGTAGTTTTTATGGCTGCCCCTCTAGTGAGTTTCTATGGCTGAGTGGGGATTTGAACCCACGACTCCTGAGGCCTAATCTGTTCCATAACTCTGTTCACTGCACCACACTGGCTCACTCACAGCATACTTGCTGGCACTTTTGAGAACCACTATGTACATTCTTCTTATCAATCTGACGTATACTCAGGCCTTAGAATGTTGTGTATTGGCACCCCACGTCAAGGGAAGCTATCCAGCCCAACCACACCCCACTTCACCCGTGTGTTTTGTCACACATGCGGAGAGTAACGAGTCTGGAGTAGAGATTCTCTGCTGTCCGTGAACCCTCTTCCATGGGCAGCAGGACCCTCATTTCCTAGGAATCCTCCTGTCTCATGAGGAGAGTGCTTGTGGACGGTAGAGATCGTCAGGCTCCTTGCCCTCCATGTGTAGGAGGAGGACAAAACCTTAAACTGAAGGGGAAAGCAGTTAGACTGTTCCCCTGGATATAAGTATATGCAAAATCTACAATACTTGAATAGGTCTACTGTAATTAATGTTGAAGGAATAACGGCTCACTTGTTGATGGTCTTCTGCCTATATTCGTTCTTTCAAGCAAGTTTTTGCATGCCTCCTGGGTATGGTGCTTACACTGTAGCATGTACTTTAGCCACACTCTGGTTCTCTTCCTGCCAGTCGCTTGCTTTTGCTTCTAAATGTCATCTTTCTGCAAGGGTCTGGGCAGCTTGTTTATAGGATTCCATTTTCCCCTCCCCCAAGTGGTTTTCATTTTCTACAATCCTATATTAAGAAAGACTCTTCTTTTTACCAATCAGGTCAGAGCCCTAAAATTTTAAGACCTAAGCCACATGGCTTAGAGCGAACAGATTCACAAACCATAGGTGAATTTACTACAAGAAGAAAGGGTATGTACTTCAGCACTGCATGCTCTCTGGCTCTGTGTGATAAACTTTTCTAAAGTTCTTATGAAACCTGTCATTTTTACTCCTACCATTTCAGTATGTTTATTTGCTAGATATCGTATTGCTAGGATTCCTTTGTGCAACCCTCATCTCCAAAAATATGCTGGAATGTCATATGTGTGAAAGGATCAGTCAGCTATTGGTTTGGTTTCCTGCTATACTTTGTATAGGTGACTTTCTAATGTAAAATGTCATGTTGGAAGACATACGTATTTGGTCTTGTGACAATAGCCTGCAACAAGAGAGACTAGTGTTTGTCATATCATGTTGATATTAGTATGGTTTTCAAAAAACACTTGCTCATAAAACAAATGTTGCAGTGTTGATCTGGGCTGGTGTATTCTGGATTGCCACATGAGAGAGACAGAATTTAATAATGCCAGAAGCAGCAATATTTTTCCATTTCAAAACTCTCAATTCATTATTTAGTATGTATTTAGTCTTGTGGATTTTTCATTAGCAATTAGGATGATGTAATTTTCGTTCCTAGTAAATATCTCCTGTAGTTCTCAAGTTATCAAATACAGTTGCCATTAATATGTGAGCTACTGGTACTATTTTTTTCTGTTCTTTTTCTTTGGGAAGAAAAATTATATGTACCTTTTGGGCATTACACCTAACTGGAACCTAATTTGATACAGGGTTTATAATGTAGAATGGCAGTAAAGAGCAGCCCTTAGGTATATGCCAATCTGGGACTTTTTCTTCCCTTATTGAGTGGAAAATAAAAATCAGTCCCCGATTCTGGAGATTTGGGAGAAAGGACTTTCACTGCAGAGACTATGAGATGAATCTTCTTAAAATTAAGTTTTGTTCTTGTGCCTAATGACTGTTGGGCATGTAATAAGAGTCCCACATATTGCACTGCCCAGCACTTCCCAACCTTGGGACCTCAGATGTTCTTCAACTGCATCTCCCAGAAGTTCTGGCCAACACAGCTAGTGGTGAATGTTTCTAGGAGTTTTAGTCCAAGAATAATTGGATACCCAAGATTGAGAACAACTGCTCTACAAACATTTTCCCTTTCAGATCATAAGAATTTTCTCAGACGCTGATGGCCTTTCTTATGAGGCAGAAATACTCACCTACATAGTTAAATCTAGATAGACTCTTCAAGAGTTAATATATTTTTTAAACAATAATCTATAGCAAATTCTGCTTTTCAGATATTGTATGTCCTCTAGTGACCTGTCTCCAGTTACTGTCCTGTCTCCTGTTAAGTAGCAGTAATGTGGAAATCTTGCCATAACAGTTACATCTGTTTAAACATGACTTGATTTTCTGTTGGTAAATCCACTGAAGAATTTGGAAACTCTGCAAACAGCAGCACTACCCAAAAGCCCTGTGTCTGAATGCCGTTCACATCAGTTCCTTTCTGGCAAACTTTATATTATTGTTTAGTCGTCACGTTATGCTCAACTCTTTGTGACCCCATTGTCCAGAGCACACCAGGCCCTCCTGTCTTCCACTGCCTCCCGGAGTTGAGTCAAATTCATGTTGGTAGCTTCATTGACACTGTCCAACCATCTCATCCTCTGTCATTCCCTTCTCCTCTTGCCCACTTTCCCAACATCAGGGTCTTTTCCAGGGAGTCTTCTCTTCTCATGAGATGGCCAAAGTATTGGAGCCTTAGCTTCAGGATGTGTCCTTCCAGTGAGCACTCAGGGTTGATTTCCTTCAAAATGGATAGGTTTGTTCTCCTTGCAGTCTGAAGAGCGTCCTCCAGCACCACGATTGAAAAGCATCAATTCTTTGGCGGTCAGCCTTTATGGTCCAGCTCTCACTTCCATACATCACTACAGAAAAAAACATAGCATATTTTTGCTCCATAAGATGCACTTCCCTCCCCAAAAGGGGGGGAATCTGTGCGTCTTATGGAAGGAAGGTGGCGATTTCGCCCCCACTGGCTCCAGGACCCTTGCGACGCTCCCCCACCCCTCAATGTGGTCAGCGGGGGTGAAATCGTGACCTTCCAGGACCTTTTGTGAGGCTTTCAATCCTCACAAAAGGTCCTGGATGCTGGTGATTTCACCCGTGCTGGCCTGTGGGGGGTGGGGGTGGAGGGAGCATTGAAGGTGGCGATTTCACCCCCACTGGCTCCAGGACCCTTGCGACGCTCCCCCCCCCCTCAACGTGGTCAGCGGGGGTGAAATCGCGACCTTCCAGGACCTTTTGTGAGGCTTTCAATCCTCACAAAAGGTCCTGGAAGCTGGCGATTTCACCCGTGCTGGCCCCGTGCGGCGTGGAGGAGCACCGCAAGGGTCCTAGTGAGCCTTCCAGGACCCTTGCGACGCTTCCCCCACCCCCACAGGGCCAGCACGGGCGAAATCGCCACCTTCTGGGACT